TTAAAATCTTAAATGTTCGCCGGTTCCCGCCTCCTTCTTCCCGACCTACAAACTTTGTTACAATGGCATTTTTCTAACTTTATTAAAAGTATGTCATCTTTTGTCAAATTCTCAAAAAATATATATTTTATAAGCTTTTTAAAAATGTTAATTAAAACAACAGAATAAGAAGAAGTAGAATAAGAAATATAAGTTACCAATCAAATGAAATCAGTATTAACAAAATTAATTTGTCGAGGTGGCACAGAAGGAACACAAAAGTGGCTTGGTCTACTTTTAAACATTTAATGAGGCTCAGAGGTAGCATGAGTGCAATTAAATCCATAAATTCATGATGATATTAATGTTTTAAATATAAAATTTTGAATATAGAAATATTAAATGATTTAAATAACTGAAAAGATACTTTTAAAATGAAACAAACTGCCAGCAGGTGGCGGTAAGTCACTGATTTTTATCACTGAATCATTCATTCAATTGATTCATTCGAACGGCTGATTCATTCAGGAATGAATCAAGTGACTCTTTATGAATGGGTAATCATGAATCACTGACTCACTAGATTCGTTTTAAAAAAACGTTCATTCATAAACGAAACACGGCTGTGTTTGAATGGAGATGCGCAGCGGCTACACTGTGTCTTTGTTTTAAACTATTTTCGACTATGAAATAGAGCAGTGGTCGCCAACCCGTCGATCGCGATCGACTGGTAGATCTTTATCACTGTCCCAGTAGATCCTGAAAAAAACTGTAAAATAAGTACAAAAATACATTACATTTATGGGGTTATATTAATGTATCACTGAAGGGTACTGTCTTGAGAAAAGTTTGGATGGCAATGGCATTTTCTCCTCTGTATAAAAGCGCAGCTCTGCTTTGTTTACAGCGGTAACCAAGGAAACGCTATATTGCGGTCGGTTCATAAGCAGTGTTGCCAAGTCCGCGGTTTTCCCGCGGAATTGGGCTACTTAACACTGTTGCAGCGGGTTGTTGTTCATGTCCGCGGGTTGAAGCGACCCCAATAACGTGATATTTAGTACCTGGAATGTGAATTTTACTTGAAGATCCTCGCCGAAAAACGTGTATTTTATCCCCCAGAATGCGATTTTTACAGGCGAACCCTCCTCGAAACGCCATTGGACTAGTTTTATTGCGAAAACCTGGCAACCCTGTTCATAGGCGCCACCTGCTGTTTTTGTTTCGTGCAGATGTTTTATGTAGCAAATAAATAAATAACACCTAAAAGTCAGACCATTCGGTTTTTGTTTTAAATCCTGAAATTAATCTAAATCAAATCAAAAACAACTGCCCGTGCAGATCATAATTATGCAGTGGTTGCCTCTAATTTCAAATGGCTAGATGTCTACACTTTGCTTATGAAAGGATTCGTGAGATATGTCTGTGATACATTACTCAATGCTGCAAACACACGTAGAAACCTTTGAAGCTGCCCTCAGCGCAATCACAAATATGATGATGATCGGGTCAGTCGCACTGGTGCTCCTAAAAAAATTTTCATAGTCGCACGCAGTGGCGGCTCGTGGGTTTTAAAATAGAGGAGGCTAATTTTTTTTACCAAAGGAGGCACGGGAGTTCACCTCTCCCCCGGCCTCCCCCTCCCCTTCTAATTCACCTAGCGGTTGCAATTACATCAGCAGATTCGGCACATTCAAGCGATAGAAAAGTGGCGCTTTCACGTTATGGTATCAAAACTGTGAAATTACAAACAAAAAATACACATTCTGAGACATGAACTGAAATGAATTGTGAATTTTATTAACATTAAATCGTCCTCCCATTTTCACCTCAAAATTATGGGGAAGCTGTGCCTACCCTGCCTCCCCCGACGAGCCGCCACTGAATACAGGTAGCTTTAACCTCGCTCACACATGCTCCAATCTGGCAACAAGATAACAATGAATAGGAAAGGGTGCCATGACACTCATGAAATCTAGATTAAATCAAGGTTTATCTAATAATTCTCTTGCACCAAACTTTAAACCTTTAAAAATAAGCAGGTTTACATTTTAACCCATCATTTTGATCCTGGATTTAAGTTATATTTAAGAT